TTCGTAGTGTAGTGGTCAGCACGCTCGACGCGTATTCGAGAGGTCCGTGGTTCGAGTCCCGGCGAGGGCATTGCTCATTTTTCATGTCTCCTGCTTCGAAATAACCTAATGTTTCTACAATACCTAACAAGTGTTTTCCATAGAACGTAACTTTGAGGAGTTAATTTTGCCGCAAGTTCAATATACTAGGGCTGTTCGTACATTTTTTAGACGATTTCCATTGTATTTCCAGAAATGTTTTACCTAAACTTTTGTGTTTTAAATGTTCCATTTGATAACCCTTATTCTTTGCTGTTTCTATACGCCGTAATTTCCGCGATAATAAAGCTTTTTTTTTTTTAGCAGCGGAAGAGGTATTTTATCCCATTCCTCTTGAACAACTTTCCAGTTGTGGCGCTGTGGGTAAAGAGAAGGTATTTCATATTCGAAAGTTGTGTATCAAGTATGTTCCTGATAATATGTGGAGTTTACCTTAACGGTTTCTGCGTTTTCTTTCATTTTTATTTGTCGTTATATCAAAAAACAATAAAAATCATAAGTCCGTTTCAAAGGTATCTGCCGAAAACATCGCGGCTAAAAAACATCGCGGACGAAAACGTCGCGGAGAAAACAACGCAAGGCGAAAACGTCGTGGTACAAAACATCGTGGGAGAAAATAAAGCAAAGAGAAAACGTCGCAGTTCTAATACATCGTGGCACAAAATCAAGCGGTCCAAAAACTTCCCAATTTAAAAACAAGAAAATATCGTGGTAAAAAACAAAAGTATCTACAAATCATCGCATTACAATAAAATCGCAAGCATGCATTTTTCAGATTTTTATAACTGTAAAATTTAATAATTGTTTAATAATTGTAAAAACTCGCATAATGTTTTGTGAGCGCAAGATGTAAAGAAGGATAATTTTTACTTTCATATTTTTTATTAACTAATAAATATTTGCTGAAAATGTAAAATGTAAACTTGAGTATAGAAAATTAATGCAATTTGTAGCACTTAATAGAATTTCAAACTGACACAGTTAACTAACAAAGGTCATTAATAAAATATTTCTTATAAGTTTTACTGGTAATTTTTCATGAAAAGTATTACCTAAAAAAAGAATAGAAAAAGAAAGATAAGTAAAAAATTGCTAAGTTAATTAGAGATAATTTTCTTCACTTTTGTTAATCTGATACTCTTATAATGAAAATTACTTCTTGTCTTATTTAAATTTCTTGTTTTTTTTAAATGTATTAATTAATTAAAAATATGAATGTGAAAATTATCCATCTTTCCATCTTGCGCACACAAATCATTATGCGAATATCCATTTGCAATTATTAAAGCCTTAAAAATCATGCCTGCGATGTTATCGTCATGCGATAATTTGTAGGTACTTTATTTTTTACCACGATATTTTCGACGGCGATGTTTTTAAACTGCGAAGTTTTTGAACCGCTTTATTTTCGACGACGATATTTTGTACCACGATGTTTTAGAACTGCTATGTTTTCTCTTTGCTTTATTTTCTCCCACGATGTTTTGTATCAGGACATTTTCGCCTTGCGTTGTTTTCTCCTCGACGTTTTTGTCCGCGGTGTTTTTGCTGCGATGTTTTCGGCTGTTTCAAACCGTTATATTCTTTGAATCATGTTCTAAGATTGCTCTTCTCTTTGATGATAATAAATGGATCTCTTTTTATTGCGGTTATTTAAATATGCCTAAGATTCATTCAACATTTTTCCATTTTTGTTCGAATAATTGTTTCTTCTAGAGAATTCTTCAGCGCGTTCTGCTTTCGGCGATATGTCGTGGAAGAAAGACTGTGCTTATTAGGTTTTTTTTCCTCCTTTATAAGACTGAACTCAGCATTAATCACTCTGTTTATAGTTGACACTGATTAATTGAATAATTATACAACTGCACTTTGACTCCAAAGATTTTCTTTTAACATTAAAGTTCTTACCTTTGCAACATTCGAAACATCCCGTTTTTACCTTATATATATATTTTGAACAATTTTTCTCCTTGAAGCGAACTTTTCTTCTTTTCTTACTGATAATATTATCTATCGTATATTATCGTATAATATTATCTAGCATCTTTTCTTATTGACAATATTATCTATATCACAACGCTTTTTAATAACTAAATACGAATAATTTTCTTCGGACAGAGCACAAACAATAATTCCGTCCACTGCTTCTTTGAAAGCGCCATTTTGCATGAAAATAAAATTCTCAAATAGCAGACGATAATTTAAACTTTTAAAAATATAGCTGCAGATAAAAAAGAATTTCCGACCGGACGATTTCCCTTTTATAGCAAAGCAAAATCGTCTAAAAAATGTGAAAACAAGCTCTGTATTAACAATGCAGTACCCGCGTTTTGCGAGGGTTTATTTGTAATGTAAAACTCATCTATTACTCAATCTAACCAAGTATTAATGCAATCGCATCCTTTTCCGAAGTCTCGTTCCTAATGAATCCGATCGACTTCTTGTTCCCGGATGTACCTTTCTTCAGTCCTCTTTTTATGTTAATTAAGTGCAATTTAGTAAATTGAGAAATGGCGTGTCAGTAATTCTGAAAATAATTACTTCGAATCCGAGCAGAAATGGAGATGGATCTTCAGGCGATTAGTTACCGACGATGAAATAAAAGAAGAATCCTTGAAAAAGATCAGAAGTAGATAATAAACTTCATGAACACAATTACAAGCAATTAGACGGTAAATTACTTACTCGGAAAATGGAAGAGAAATAATCACTTAGAAAAATACTAATTGTAATTAAGAGAATCTTCTAATTTTTTTAAGCATCGAATAGGGAATTTCTACAAACATACGAAATGAAAAATTATATTATTTTTGTGTGAATTATACATTAAATATAAATAAAATTTTATTCGTTTTTGTTTAATATCTATAATATATATGTTACGGTGAAACACCGAAATCTGGAGAATGTCGACTTTCACCGGTGAATGTCAACATTCACATATAGTCGCTTAATGTATGTCCGAAATATTTTCCAAATACTCTTATTTCTGACTTACACCGGTGAATGTCGACATTCACCATGTACTAAATGGTGAATGTTGAACATATAAGAATATTATATTTCCTTCTCCGTAATTCATTCGCGAAACACGCACTTGAGACTCAGAATAAGAACTTAAGAATATAAGAACTTTAAACACACAGCGCATTCAAAATGAGAAAGGAAAATAATAGAAGTTATAAACTTACCAAATTATGTGATTCAAATCTTATTTATTGCAACAACTTAAACTATTATGACACTTTGAATTGCACAAGAGGCCCTTGCTTTTACAACTGCATTTATTTGTGGAACACTTCCTTTTGGGATGGCAGCGTGCACATATACTCCTCTCTTTTCGACCTACACTAGAGCATATCTGTGTTTGTCGACATACACCAGTGAGGGTCCGAATGTACAAGAATGTAAAGGACTATTCGATCTTTCACCGACATATTTGGTGAATGTTGACATTCTCCGGTGAAAGGCGACACTCTCCAATTTCGGTCTTTCACGGTAACATATACAATAAATGTACATCCAGGATATTTACTTTTTTAAATCAGTTAAGAAGATATTTGCTGTGATTCCTTGCTTTGTTGTAGTTTGTATTAAAACTTTTGCAAGTACATGTCGTATCGAATTATTGCATTTGCTCTTGCGTAGTAGTATAAATGTAGTATTTGAAGCATAACTGGTTAGCACATCCAGCAAGCAGTGAGATCTCTGGTTCGAAGCCCAGCGAGGGCGCAGTTTATTTTTAGTGTTTCCAGTTCCACAAAGCTAATTAGTCTCTATAGTGGCGACCGAACTAAAATTTTATTTACAGTAATTCATTACCATCTGGATTTAGTCACCTGGGTCTCATGTCTCTACCTAGTAGGAGAGACTGTAAGGAATTATCACATTTTCTGGTGCATGTTGTTCTATTGTAAGCGATTGGCACGTCGAGTTAGCAAATGAAAGATGCTTGATTTGAATCCCTGCGAACTTATTTTTAATGTTTCCTGATTCGAAATATCTAAAAACTGGCTCGGTATGATCTACTACGAAATTTGTGTAATATACGTTTGCAATGCATTAATGGCATCTAAAATTCTTTAAAATGCATGAATAATGCACATAGGTCTACTCATAACCAACTGCATGTAAAGCAGATAAGATGCTTTAGTGGTAGAGGTTCCGAAGGAAACTAGCACTTGTATCCCTTACGCATCAAACCAATATTAAGAAATAGAAGACCAAGGACTGCTTAAAAGGGCAATGCTATAACACACTATATCATCAATAAATGTATTTAATTGAAGGATTAAAGGATCATCCTTTGCATGTAACGCATTTATCCTAGCATTACAGTTACTTTTTTAATCCAAAGGGAAAATTTGCCCTGAAGCTGTATTAATTTCGTTTTGCTCTTTCGCATTGAAAACTATAAACGGCGAATCACTTTTCAAATTGTTGCCACCAAATATTATCGCTCCGCATTATATTTAAAGAAATTAAATAATGAAGAATGTGCATGAATATAGGTATGTTTCTCCCATTGTGGTAAAACAACGGTATCTAGAGCCATCCAATTTTGAATGACGTAATCCTACTGCGAATATGGGCATCTGAAAGCCCAAATTTCAAATTTGGAATTCGTTTATTATCGATTTCATATTTTGAAAAGCTTCAACAAATTTTTGATTAACAAACTCGACGATTTCAAAGCGAGCAATGGCAACACTCTACCGGGGAAAAAAAACTTTTTTATCTGCATGAAAAATATACATACGGTAGAAAGAAGCAAAACTAATAAAGAAAAAAAAATATGGCAGCCATAGAGATAGCCATTTTTTTGTAAGTGACACCAAATAGCCTTGACGATAATAGTTAATATCCATTATTATACGCATGATCCTTTTTTATATAATCTAACTTAAAGTCGTCATAGTAACGTACTTCCACTGGGCACTGATGTGTGGTTATCTGTGCAGGTAATGGTACGATCGAGTTCAACGAGTTCTGCTTTATGATGTCGAACAAAATGAAGGAGAGGGACAGTGAAAAGGAGCTAAAAGAAGCTTTCCGCGTGTTCGACAAGAATGGCGACGGTTTCATATCTGCACCAGAACTGCGACATGTTATGACCAACCTGGGCGAGAAGCTGACAGACGAAGAGGTCGAGGACATGATAAAAGAAGCAGACCTGGACGGAGATGGCCTCGTCAACTATGATGGTGAGTAATACATAATAAATCTTAATTTATTTTTCCTCGTTTAACTGAAACACTAATCACATGTAAAAGTATTCATTTTACATGTTGTTATGTTTCTTGTAAAGATCTAGCCATCACTGAGTTCGCGAAATTCTCAAACAAATAAGCTGGACATTGCTGTTATTGGGGACTGTCAACACAATGACTAATAACTATAAGTAAATCAAAGCTTAAATGTACAGCATCCAAAATAATTTTTACACTCTATGAACTTTAAATAGCTGGGAAATTAAGAATAACAAATATTAACTTGTTTTGATGTCCCATATCTTAAAATTATAAATATTCAAAATGAAGAAAATGCTATAGAGCATTTTCTGAAAGAGAATATTTCAATCGTGGTTCACCCACGATTGAAATATTCTCTTTTAGCAGCAGAGATTACCTCAGTTGTATGTTCCTTGATATCCAATAGCTACGGCTTTACAAACCTACCTGTAGAATATTTGTAACACCGCTCCCACGTTGTTATTCTTTCCTTGCTGCATCGTTCTTTCTTAGATAACACACAGCTCCTAGTTGTTTTCGTTTATGACGTAAGCTTGTAACTGTTAAACGGGAACTGTGCGCGGAATATCAAGTTCTATTTGTTGTCATCTTATCAGGTTCAGTGTTCCTCCTTACTTTCTTTGGGAACATGCAAAGACCTGACTCGGAACAGGGAGCTTACTAAAGCTATGTTCAATAGATGTGGGAAGTAGACAAGATACACAGGAAGGGTATACGAAACCCTTTATTTTTTCACTCTTTACAATAATTTCCGGACTTCGGAATACAGAGACCAACCACTTGTGGTCTGAACGTAAGAATATAAAAATATTAACTAAACTCTAACTTAACTTTGGAATAACAAACAAGGGCCTACGTGGAAGATTGGCCGTATATTAACAGGAAGCCGTATGTAGTACAGAGAACTGTTAACACTACAATACGTTTAAAATTATCAAGAGGATTAAACCTCTGGCCTTGAAGGCAACCAGCAACCGAGTAAAACTGCTATGGCAAGCGGCCTCCTAATCACTCCTTCCTCTCTCTTGCTTGGCAAAAAGCCACAACTTAAGTACTTGGCGTTCGCAAGACAAATTTGCATAAATAAGTTAAAGCTTTTAATTCTGGCCGGAAGTAGAAAATAAGAAGTGATAGTAAAGATTTAAAATAAAATAAACGTTAGTAAAACTTAAGATCCTTACAATCTTTGCATCTCGCACACACGAACGCGCGAGCTAAAATTTGGTCGATGCGCTTACCCATCGTCACTTGGATTTGACAACTAAATCGTTTCTTCCCAGTTGCCCTTTGGGTGGGGAAGAATATAATGTATTTTCTTCCTCCTTGCGGTGTGCCTTCGTGGTAAAATTGGCATCCGGTTAGCAATCGGAAAGTCCAGAGTTTGAATCCTAGCAAGAGCATCGTTGATTCCTGGTTTTAGAAAAACAACCTAATGCTTCTACAATTTTAGTAACATGTGATTTTCAGTCTATGATAAAATGTTAAAGAGTTACACAGACACTTTCACTTACTTATGGACATCTACAGAACGGTGGCTGTCATTTTTATGAATGTTGATCATCGAAAAAAAAAACAGAAATTATCATTATAATGCTCCCGCATAAAGGTGCTCACACCTTTATGAAGACTTTCTTTTTTAAAATTGCTAACTAATTCGAGTAATTTTAAAATTGGAAACGAATTCGAGTGCTTCGAAACCTTTGTGAAGGTAATATTCCATATACGCAACTACATCGTATGAAAAAAAAAACGAATTCAAATATTTTAATTTTTAAAGAAGTTACAAGCATTTAAAATATGTAAACTTTGCCCTCTAAATTTTGGAGAAAATGTAAAAAAAAAAAAAAAAAAAAAAAAAAAAAGTATTTCAACATTTATAATTTATATATTTGCCCAAAAGAAGTGTTTATTTCTAAAAAAAAGGCTAGAAATGTCAAGTATTGGCACCTATTAATGAATTTAACTTTGCTTATGTACACTCATGTCCATAAATTAAGGATAATGCAAAATCAGGCAAAGGAAGAGTTAGAAGCAAAACAAATTTGACTTATTTGTAAAGCTTATTTATTAAACAAAAGGTAAAGAGCAAAAAAAGATGCTATATATTTGATACTATTAAAAAAAATAGCGATTTTTTCTCCCTGGAGCAAATTACAAAAAACACCTATTTACAAAAAACCAATATTACATGGTTGGTATGATTTTTAATACATTGTATGTCTCCCAGACGATGCAATACAGTCCGTACAACGCCTAGGCATGCTGAGTTTCAAATTATCGATCTGATCTTGGGGAATATTACACCACTCAAAAGGCAATGCTCTCTGAAGTTCCGATAGACATGTAGGAGGAGGTTGACGGGCTGCAACTCGTCGGCCAAGCATATCCCACACGTGCTCTACTGGATTCAAGTCCGGTGAGAATGCTGGCCAGTCCATACGGGTGATATCCTCCGATTGAAGGCATTCGCTTACGATGTTTGCACGGTGAGGACGGGCGTTGACATCCATAAACAGAAATTGTGCGCCCATGGCCGCACCGAAACAAACGTACATGTTGTTCCAGAATGACGTCCCGTTAGATTTGGCTTGTCATGGCTCCAATTTGAACGAGCGGGTCAGTTCTGGAACCCAGAATATTTCCCACCCCAAACGAGCACTCCTGCACCACCGTTACGGTGTCGTTCAATGATGTTTTCTTGGTGGTAACGGGTACCTGGAGCTCCCCATATGAAAGTCCGGCGAGAATCAGACTGTAAGCTAAACCTGGACTCGTCGGAAAACATCACACAAGCTCACTGTTGCGGTGTCCACAATGCATGCTCTCTACTCCAGGCTAGCCGCAGGCGACAGTGAGTTGTAAGTGGAACGCATCTGACAGGTCTACGAGCATATAGACCAATCTGCCCTAAGCGTCTGTACACGGTCTGCCTTGAAATTGTCGTACCAGTGGCTGAAGAGAGCTGACGAGACAGGTCTGAGGCTGTGCTCTACCTGTTTCTTTTGGCAGTAACTGCCAAATACCGGTCCTCATTCCGCGTTGTAACTCTGGGGCGACCTGTGCTGTAACGTCTATTCACATTACCATCCTCTTCGAATCGTTGGCAAAGCCTGGAGAAGACACTCTGGGCGATTCCAAGTTCGTCTGGTACTTCCAGTTGTGTACGCCCACATTCCAGACGGCCGATAATTCTACCACGTAAAAAGTCATCCAAATGCGTAATTTGTGTCATAACTATTCGGTTATTGCACTGAAATGCTTATAAAGCGCCTGCGAACAATGTTACTTCTTTGCCTGTATTCCTTATATATCACTCTCTTACACTCTCGTCATTCTGACGTACCATCGGTGTCATCTGGTTACTTCCTGAAATTTGCATATGATTCTTGAAGATGTGTGTAGTGATTTTACAGGTGATATATTTATTTTAGAGTCTGATTTCCGCGTGACTCCGAATTATCCTTAATTTATGGACATGAGTAAATGCTATAAGCGTAGAGTAGTAGGAAACAAACTCGTTTTCCCTATTCGTTGAAAAAAAACCAGGATCAACGTCGCTTGAACCAAAGTAAAACGAGAAGTTTACCTACTTGGAAAAAAACAGAAATAGTAAAAAATGCTGTAAAGCATTAAAAGATAATGTAAATGTGGCAAATGAAGTTAAAATATATAGTGCGGTTGAATTTTAAAAGTTTCATTGGATATAATGCATAAATTGTTTCTCCCCATAACTTTCAATCACATACCAGCTTGCGATATGTTTATATTTGTCATATTTAATATTAGGAGATTAAAAATAGTTAAATGATATGAAAATGTTATCTAGTGTTTACAAATTCATATTTAAAGTTAATTTGCTGTTTCTCATGATCATGTGCTAATGGTAAGTTTGAAGAAAAACTTTAAATTCGGTTTCCACAAAACAAATGTTTTCGCAGTTCGTATGTCTTGAAAATGCTCCATGCGACACATTTTCAGTTCAAAATGAATGATATTTGGAAGAAACTATCTTGTTATATGTTGCAGTAAAACTGTGTATGCATTTTTGGATATGAGGTTATTAAAAAGTTTGAAGCAACTTGTGATAATGCTTAACAAAAAGTGATATTTTTCCGAAAACTGGGTTGAAGTTCACAAAAATCCCTTTTAAAATTTTTTGATCCATCATATTGAATAACGGATACACTCAAACTTTCTTTAAGTCTTCATAGCTAACTCAAAGGAAAAATGAGGAAAAAATATTGAAAATTTAGAGCGCAGGGAGCATTTTTAATGTTTAACTAAAATAATTAATTATTTGTTTTCAAATTTTTTAATTTAAAATAAATTGAAATTTTGAACATATATTTTATAAACTTATGTTATAATATGTATATGTGTAAAATTTCTTGTTGAAATCACAAAAACTTAAAAAACTAATTTTTAAATTCCACCCTCCCCTTAAAGATATAGCAATTTTGAATCGAGATTTTTTATTTTCTAAGAGGATATTGATTAAGTTAGTGATTTCTTCTTGTAAGTATTCGATTTTGTTGACTTAATTCTATACATACTCAACTCTTATTCTAATGAGTTGAGTATGTATAGTGTTAAGTATTACTCTTTTTGAAATATTGGAGTTCCAATGGATGAGTTTTATAGTAGGGAAATTAAAATCTCTTCTTTTATCGTAGATTTTAATATCTTTAAAACTGATAATTTGCAAATCTAGGTAATTAATATCTTCTTGGTAAAAGTTAGTTTTATTAAGTTTCAAACACAAAGGATAAATGCGATCGTATTCTATTTTATTGTAGTTGTGGAATGTAATAATAGCATCCATGTATCTGAAAAAGTAGAGTAGTATGAACATATATACACTGGTTATGATAAATTAAGAAAAAATCACAAAAATCACGATTACTGAAAAAGTTACATGTAGGATTTTATAAAACTTACCCACAATATACACACATAGTAAGGTATCAAATAACATAAAAAGAAATTACCAGACAATTATGATAGTATAGAAATTAGACACATGTATAGAATGAACAAATCGAAGATGTCAGTTTGCTATAGTAAAAGTACCTTCAATATGGAATATGATCGCCTCTAGGGGCAATACAGCACATACAGCGATGTGTGATGCTTTCAATTATGCGGTCTATCAGTTCCATAGGAAGCGAGAGCCATCGCTCTTGCAAAGCAGTTGCAAGCGCGACAAGGTTTTGAGGGGCGGGTTGAGAGCAGCTAGACGTCTTTCTAAAGCATCCCAAACGTGCTCGATAGGATTTAAGTCCGGGGATCGAGCTGGCCACTCCATGCGCATAATTGTTTCTGTTGGAGATAATCATATACGATGTGAGCCCTGTGTGGTCTTGCATTGTCGTCCTGTAACAGGAAAGCATCGCCTATTGCCCCGGCATATGGGCGCACATAAGCATCAAGGATGTCATCTCTATTCACGGTTCCCCTTGGAAAAACATGGAGGTCTGTGCGTCCACTCAAAGAGATGCCACCCCAAACACAGATACTACCTCTTCCGTATGCATCTCTTTCACGGATGTTTGACGGATGATAACGGGTTCCAGGTTCTCTCTATATCAAATAACGCCTATTATCGCTTTCTAGACTAAGCCTGGACTCATCCATGAAGAGAATAGCCCTCCATTGCTCAGGCGTCCAGTGGACATGTTGTCGTGCCCACTGCAAACGGTCCCTCCTACGGCGTGACTTGAGCGGCACGCAAATGGTTGTTTGCCTAGCCATACAGACCACCTTCGTGAAGCCTTTTACGCACAGTTGACGCTGACACCAACCTCCCGGTGGCTGCAGCAAGGGAGGATCTAAGAAGAATCGGAATAGCGGTTCTATTCCTGAGTGCACATAATGTCAAATATCGGTCATAGGCGCTCGTCCTAGCAGTTGGCTGTCCTTGGATGAACCTTCTAGGTGCCGAATCTGTGATTGGAAATTGCCTCCAAAGTCTTCTCCAAAGTCAAAGGACACACATTTAGCCATCTGGCCACTTCTGTTTGACTTTGTCCTGCCTCTAGTCTCCCAATGGCTCTCTATCTTAGTTCTGCAGGCAAATGATGCCGCCTGGAGGTCATTGTTACGAATTCGGCTATCCCAAGATTTCTGATGTCACTCTCACAGTGAAATATGTTGGCTTGCTTCTCAAACATGGACTTTTATTGCTTCTCGCAGATGACGTATTCCGAGTGCAGCGCCACTCATTTGCATATTGGAGTTTTACTCAGCTACTCTTACTTGGCAACATATTCAAATTTTACACGGTTTGGCTTATTTTTGTAGTTTTTCCTTAATTTATGATAACCAGTGTATATATACTACATATAGCCCGAATTGAGTGAAGATTTTTATCTTTTTCTAATTTTCCTTACTTTTGGCCAATGTTTAGTACAGCTTTCATTAAACTTGTAAAAAGTCAGTTTTAATAAATTCAGACTATTACAAAAATTTCTTACTTTAGTTTTAAAAATTTTTGGAACTTAAAATTAAATTAAATTAATTTTACTTCAAAAAAATTTTTCGAACTTTATTTCAAAAACATTTTTTTCGATTTTTTACAATCCTTAGTAGTTTGCAACATCTGTTTTCACATGACCATGTCAACAGTTAGCAATTTTTTCGACTTTCTACATATTTTTACAATGCTTCACAGTTAGAAACATTTTACGTTGCATAAATGTTTGCAGAATAGTTTGATACAATAAATCTGACAGGTAGCAGCTTAACACTCAACTTTACCTTTTATTAGCGCCCTCTATTTATACAGTTAGCAGAAACATGCTGTTCAACCTCACTTAGTTTAGCAAATGCTACTACTCTACTTTCAAATACAAATGTATAGAAGGTAATTTAAATTAAAACGTACTATTTACTTGCCTTTATAGTATTATTTTAGTATTATTTATGTAATTTTTATAGACTGTATATAGTTTTTTTTTTATTTACATGCATAATTCGTGTCGGGGAAGTTTCCAAATAGGCAAAGGTTTCTAAATTACTTTGGTTTTCTACTCTTTTTACACTGGCAATTTACATTTAATTATTATTTTGATTCTAAGTCAATATGCTTTCTAGATTTTTCAAAATTTAATTTGGCTACTTCCCCTTCCTGCCCTAAAAGTATTAATTGTTTATAATATATGAATCTAAACTGCATCATCTATCATGCCATCTCTCCGTAACACTGAGGAGATTTTTTTCCAATCACAGGTCAAAATTTCAACAAAGAACCGATTCTATATCTCTCGCTTTTGTTAATTCGTACTTACTTTCCTGCTTTGTCTTGCTACTAATAACGTGCATCGCTCTTTTCGCTGTGTTGTGCATTGTCTAAAGATGTGGTAAGCGATCCAAAATTGTAGGATGCATATTGCGCTATTGACGGAGGGAAGGGTGAAGAAGAATCAAGAATCTGTACGTCAAAGATTAGTTATCCGACAGTAAATTGTGTCTTGTTTTCGGACACGCTGTCTGTAAATGTCATCTTTATATCTACTCAGCTATTCTCCAATCTTCAAAGTATTTACAGTTCATATGTGTAACTATGATTATCGTAATAGAAATTGTTCATTGGTTTTATTTCATGCATACTAATTATTTCTTTTTGTATTCCATAACAGAATTTGTGAACATCCTGACGGGCAAGCAATGATCAACGGAAATCATCATTCTGTACATATTTTTGCCAACAAGATAAAAGATCACTTCTGCTCCAAGACTTCTGTTCCCCACCCTGGACATTGAAAAGCTATGATGCTCAATTGAGTCCCAAATTCCGAAGAACTTGGTTCGTCGTGCTATTTTTTTATGAGGACATGGACAGCACCGCTAGAATTCCTTAATACTGATCTTGGATTCCCTTCCCCAAGATAACACTCATTATGCTAGTAACTTGATCCAATATCATTTTCCTAGTTTTAGAAGCTATTAGATTATAATTTTTTTTTTTTTTAAATTTATTTATTGCTCATTCGGATAAACAGTACCGTGATATGAGTTTAGTAAAATTTCCATCCATTTTGTTCAATCATTGATTAAATAACATCCAAAAATGTAACCAAAAAGTTTAAAAAATAGTACTTCTAAAAGTAGGCACATCATTACGCCAGTTCAAGAGAAGTTAAACCAAAATCCATACTGCTTTATTAAAAAGTATTTCAGTACTTTCCTGTGCTGCCTGCAAAATTAGATCTGTTTGGCTTTGGTCTGCGGGTGGCTTAGTTGGCAAATAAATACCAATACAATCGTTTACTGTATCATATTATGTAGATTTCAAATAAAGTAATAATAATATGATTAAACTATGAATTATTAACTTTGTATTTTATACTTTAAGTTTCTGGAGTGCAAAAAGACCAACAAGTAATGCCAATTAGAAGTACCAAAACTTTGCATATATATAAAAAAATATGAAATACAAAAAAAGAAATGATTTTTTTGATTGCTCATTCGGATAAACAATACCGTGATATGAGTTTAGTAAAATTTCCATTCATTTTGTTCAATCATTGGTTAAATAACATCCAAAAATTTAACCAAAAAGTTTAAAAAATAGTACTTCTAAAAGTAGTCACATCATTACGAAAATTCAAGAGAAATTAAACCAAAATCCATACTGCTTTATTAAAAAGTATTTCAGTACTTTCCTGTGCTGCCTGCAAAATTAGATCTGTTTGGCTTTGGTCTGCGGGTTGGCTTAGTTGGCAAAATAAATACCAATACAAATCGTTTACTGTATCATATTATGTAGATTTCAAATAAAGTAATAATAAATATTGATTAAACTATGAATTATTAACTTTTGTATTTTATACTTTAAGTTTCTGGAGTGCAAAAAGACCAACAAGTAATGCCAATTAGAAGTACCAAAACTTTGCATATATATATAAAAAAATATGAAATACAAAAAAAAAAGAAATGATTTTTTTAATTTTTTAATTCGTCTTTGTCTATTCTGGTTGTGGTGATTACTTTCTAAACAAACAAATATAAAATTTTTTTAGAAATTTTATGAATACTAAATTTTTCAGAAAAAATATAAGAACACCGTTTATGTTAAAAATGTTTCGCATCTACAGAAATACCATGTTACATAAAAAAATCAGTTTCGAAATTAATTTTTTATGAAACAAATTAACAGAAATTGCACTCATTTATCACTTATTAGGTGCTCAGTTATCCATAAATGAAAAATGGAACTTAAATAAATTAAAACTAATTCTTTAGTAGTTCATAAACAACTAATTTATAACTGTAAAAGCCAAAATAAATAAATGTTCACTTAAAAGAAGCCAATTTTTAATTCGTATGTGCGTGATCTCTCCTGCGATTCTGTTGCGTGTTGTCTGTTATTCTATAAAATTTTACTGTTGATATATATTTATTCGATATATTCTATTTATTTAATCTGTAAATTATACAGCTTTATTTATTCATGAATAAATTTACAATTTTTAAGCAAAACTAAAACTGCAGAATAGCTGTATTCAAATGAATAAATTCCGTGTAATTAATTAAATACATTAATTGATATACAATGAAATTGCATTTTATTCTCTAGAACTTATTTAATAACAGACGTACGAATGTGCATCAACTAACATAAATATATTATACGCAGTTCAGTTTTCAAACACAACTTTTTCTTTATCGTACTTTCTACGAGAAAGTGATAATTAAAAAAAAAATAAAATAAAATCCAAATTAGTTATGGATATAATTAGCATAATTTCTCTAATCATTAATCTGCCTTCTTGTAATTCTTAATATAATTACAAAATAAAAGAAAGAAATAAGTTGCCATTTAAATGCTATTAAAAATTCTCTTACACAAAAATCGAAAAGTATTATGAATGTCGACATATTTTCCTCTTCTCAGTACATGCAATTAAAACTAACTTTCATTAATTATGAATAGGAAAATGAATAAAAAGGTAAATGATATTATATCAAGTTGCTAAAAAAAGTTCCGGAAAAAAAAGATCATATCTTATTAAAACTTTTTGCAGCTTATGTATTGTTTGAGCATATTTTTAATGTACTTTTCTTTTTCGTATTATATCTCGTGTCCTTTTATTTGCAGTTTTAGTGTTTTTTACCCCTTGGGTAACATTTCCTTCTGTGAGTACAATCTAGTCGGTGACACCCAAGTTGTTTTTTTTTCTTTTGTACATAATAAATGTAATAATACTGAAATCCGACGTCTGTTTCTCTCCATGTTTGTTATTTTTTAATTTTTACCTTTCAAGGATTCTTATTTCCCAGCATTGCATGGAACTTGTACATAAAACTTCGCTTTTTTTTTACTTCTATAAAAGTAATACGTACTTTCTCGGAAGAAAAACTTCATTTAATTGAAACTACCTCGGTAAATTGTTTCCCCCCCCCCGTCATTTAAGGGGAAAAAATCTACGTTATTAAAAAAGGAGTGTTTTCATAATTCGCTTCATATGCTCAGTGCACCATTTTTATTAAATAAACGTTCGTTTTCTTCAGCAGCAATTCTGAATGAAACGAAGAGCACGTGGTTATTAAATATTTCTTATTCAGATAAACATTTTGATACTTCTTATTGAGTTAAAAATTTCATTAGTGTTTTTTAAGCAGAACCGAGTATTAATTTAGGTTTAAATTAGAAAAGAAATATTTACATAGATAGAAATCAGCGTACAGGATCTAAACAGAAATATCAGAAAGTCTTAAAAGTAATATTATTTGTATTAAATAAAATAAACAAATGAAGAACAATTTCACATTCACACCGAAAACGTCCATCTTTATTAACAAAATCTACGATAAAATTCAGTTCGTATTTTGCATTTTGTTCACTTCGTTTGCGAAACTGAAAGAATTTGAATAAAATTTTCATAACAAAAAAAGCGAATTGAGCGAAATTCTTATGGCAAATATTATTATGTATAGTTTAAGGAGTTTCATCTAGTTTTTCTCTCCCCTTAGGTACTCTTTCTTCTCTCTAACGTTTTCAGCGTATGATTTACACTCATGTCCATAAATTAAGGATAATGCAAAATCAGGCAAAAGAAGAGTTAGAAGCAAAACAAATTGACTTATTTGTAAAGCTATTTATTAAACAAAGGTAAAGAGCCAAAAAAGAAATATATATTTGTACTATTAAAAAAAATAGCGATTTTTTCTCCCTGGAGCAAATTACAAAAAACACCTATTTACAAAAACCAATATTACATGGTTGGTATGATTGTTAATAGATTGTATATCTCCGAGACGATGCAATACAGTCCGTACAACGCCTAGGCATGCTGAGTATCAAATTATCGATCTGATCTTGGGGGATATTGCACCACTCTAAAAGCGATGCTCTCTGAAGTTCCGGTAGATATGTAGGAGGATTTTGATGGGCTGCAACTCGTCGGCCAAGCATGTCCCACACGTGCTTTACTGGATTCAAGTCCGGTGAGAATGCTGGCCAGTCCATACGGGTGATATCCTCCGATGATATCCTCCGATTGAAAGCATTCGCTTACGATGTTTGCACGTGAGGACGGGCGTTGTCATCCATAAACACAAATTGTGCGCCCATGGCGCCCCGAAACAAACGTACATGTTGTTCCAGAATGACGTCCCGATAGATTTGTCTTGTTATGGTTTAAATTTGAACATTCAGGTCAGTTCTGGAACCCAGAATAGTTACACCCCAAACGAGCACTTTTGCACCACCGTAACGGTGTCGTTCAATGATGTTTTCTTGGTGATAACGGGTACCTGGAGCTCTCCATATAAAAGTCCGGCGAGAATCAGACTGCAAGCTAAACCTGGACTCGTCGGAAAACATCACACAAGCCCACTGTTGCGGTGTCCACAATGCATGCTCTCTACTCCAGGCTAACCGCAGGGCGGACAGTGAGTTGCAGTAAGTGGAACGCATCTGACAGGTCTACGAGCATATAGGCCATCTGCCCTAAGCGTCTGTACACGGTCTGCCTTGAAATTGTCGTACCAGTGGCTGAAGAGAGCTGACGAGACAGGCTGAGGCTGTGGCTCCGCCTGTTTCTTTGGCAGTAACTGCCAAATACCGGTCTTCATTCGCGTTGTAACTCTGGGGCGACTGTGCTGTAACGTCTACTCACATTACCATCATCTTGGAAACGTTGCAAAGCTGGAGATGACACTCGGGCACTTCCAAGTTCGTCTCATACTTCCAGTGGGTACGCCCAATCCAGACAGCCGATTCTACACGTAAAAAAAAAATCATCCAAATGAGTCCTTTGTGTAATATTATTCGGTATTGTACTGAAATGCTTATAAGCGCCTGAGAACAATTTTACATCTTTGCCTGATTTCTTTATATATCACTCTCTTACATTCTCGTCATTGTGACGTACCATCGGTGTCATCTGGTTACTTCCTGAAATTTGCATATGATTCTTGAAGATATGTGTAGTGATTTTACAGGTGATATATTTATTTTAGAGTTCGATTTCCGCGTGATTCTGAATTATCCTTAATTTATGGACATGAGTGTAGAATCTTCGCCAAAAGCATTGTTGCCGTTAAGCAAAAGAGAATGTATTTATTTTACATCGTTTCTGTCTTAAAGAATTTGTACTACATCATCACATAGGTCTGCCATGACGAAATTTAGTAATTTCACTTTAGCTGGATTACTTAGCAACGTTTTCGACAATTGATATTCTACATTCATGAACGTCAGAAATCAAATAGTTTTTAAACACTTGTAATTATGTAGATTGTAACCTTTCTACCTCTTACTCTCTCTACATTACAGAAGCTCTTCGCAGATTTTTAGACAATTTTGTTTTAAAATTCTGTTAAGAAAAAACATCTACTTCGAATTTTTTTAACTGCAACTATATTTTTGAAAGCATAAATTATCGTCTGCTACTTAACAGTTTTGTTTTCACGCAAAATGGCGCTTTTAAAGAATCAATAGTTGGAAGGCTATGTCTGTGCTCTTTTCGACGAAAATTATTCGTATTTAGTTATGAAAAATCTGTGTTTTTTTCAGTACCTAAAGAAACGATAGAGAATATGTGAACAAAAAAAGGAAAAAAACGTCAATGTTTAGCTTACACATATCCAAAGAAAAATCAGAAAACATTAAAATAAAATCCGGTAAGTCTAATGAAGTTAGAAATTTATTAAAATGCTCAGTGTCATTTGTAAACAAAATTATTAATGCTGACTTAAATCTTAAAAAGGCGAAAAAACATAATGTGCATCTTTTTTCTCC